AAGCTGGCTATGTCGTGTTAATTAGTTACACAGCTGATATTTGTATTGTTTTTTTAACCTTACTTTAATATGTCGACGTTCAAAAATGGAATATTTGAGAAACGTGTGGAAAACACGTTTGTTATCTGGGTATACAAACTCAATAGAAGTAGGATACTCAACTGTGTCTACTCATTACTGATGTCACAGGCAACAAAACCGAACAAAGTAGCTATAGCCTATATGAAAATCAAAATGTGACTTCAAAATCCACACATTTTTTAGAGTGTCTGCAGTATATCGCAACATTATTAAAACACTATGCATTAGGCTACTTTCCAGTGCACGGGGGTGTATTGCAGCTTGCCAGGGTGCCAAAATCGCAGCGTGCGCTCATTCAACTCCATGCAAGGTGTAACAAATCCACAATGTGCAGTCGGAAGGCTTTTACACAGTCCTGCACCAAGCAAAAAACCCAATCACGCTAATGCATGCTGATATCGGTCATACCTGAACGCACATATGGCTATAACCAAAGGTCCCGTGTCAGCGGACAAATAATACACGCAATTATAATCCATTTACTTGACGATAGAAATCCGCGAACTTCGGGGGAGTTCAGGCAGTGTGCAGGCACTTTCCATCATTGTCATCTTTAACGGTGTTTACGGTTCCTTGTGATGATTCCCAAACAAACTGAATAAAACTGGAGTCGCGGCGCGTTATCCGCGCAGTGGATTGTCAGCAGTCCGGGCGCGTACGGGGTTAGTCCGCAGAGGCTGGCTTACCGCAGCTGACTACAGACTCTCATTGTAGAAGCAGATCCCTCATGCTGGACAGAAACCCTGCGATCGGTGAGCTGTCATTTTGCAGGCTCTAGTGGTGCCAACAGTGAACTACATGAAATGCATTGAGTGCGAGCAACCTGAACAAAATTTACTGTTATTACTATGGAAAGGACATGTAACAAGTACACTGTAAAATAGAGTGTTACTGGGTTTGGTTTAGGGATAGTTGCATAATAAAGTCCTACATGTAAGATAAGATAGACTTCATTGTCCCAAAGGAAATTGGTCTTGGACACATACAATATAGTGTATGCTGATTAAATACAAGTACACACCAACAGTACACACTACACAGGCTGTAACCCATACACACTCGTAAATACACATACCCACACAGCAAAATCCCCAGGGTCAAATTAACACTCTCAGTGTTTATACGAGTCCACACTCAGAGTGTTATAAGTAACACTGAAGCAGTGGTATAGTTAATGAGCTAATTAAGTGATTAATTGAGTTATAATTTAGCATTATTGAAGACACCTGATGATAATCACAAAAAGCATAATCACAAAAGGAAAAATGTATGTAAAATGGTCACCATTATGGTGATCGGTGTTTAGTTTACTTGGGCTCTTGACCCTTACATTCTTAATTTTAGATTTTATTTGGCTGCTGTAATTCAATTACTGTTGTACATGAGTTCCATTACTGTTGTACATGAGTTATAACAGCTAGATGAACAAATAGAAAAGGTGATCTGATGGTTTTGGTTGTGTTTAAACATAATCATTACTTGGCCTGACTCACGAGAGCATAATTTCTAAGTTAAGATTACCTTATGGATTATAGCAGGACTGTTTTTGTAGAGATGCCATTTTAACCTTTTCAATAAAATTCAAATAATCAACTCAATTAAAAAAAAAAACTTTTTAAAAAAGCATTTCAGGCAGGCACATACTGACATCAAAAATTAGCATATGGATCTCAACAATGGTGACAAACAAATCATCTCTTTACATAAGCTCCTGATTTATTCATGCAGCAATCCATGACAGGAGCCATGAATGAATTTTGATTGTTGGCACCCAGAATGCACTGCAACACACTTTATAATTGTCGCCATTGATTGAGATTCACAGGCTGATTCTTAATCTCTGTGTAAAAAGAAAAAATGTCTATTTGTATGTGAACAACTTTTAAGAAATTATCTGAATTATATTATAAAAGTTACAAACATCTTGCTTTTAAAGGACAGAGATGCTATAATTATTAAAGTAAATCTTATTCAGAATTAGTGATTCAAATCATGAGTAACATACCAATTACGATTTTGTCCTTCAGTGATTCTGCTTGTTAACATCAGGTGTTTTCAATAATGATCAATCATCCCTCAATTAATCACTTAATTATCTTGTCAACTTTAACACTGCTTCGGTGTTACTTATAACACTCTATGTTTATATGAGGGGGGATTTAACATAGGGGATTTTTACTGGAGGAGCAAAACGTAATGATTGTTCAAACACTAGATGGCGGTGTGCACTATAGGGTCACATCACGTGCTATTTAAACTTCCCTGGTGTCTGTGGGTTGTATTTGTGAGGGACATGTGGCAGGAACATATGGTTCTTACTACAGTACAACATGCTTTTACTGTAAGTCAGTGGCGTAGCCACGAGGGGGGGTGGGCCTAGGCCCCCTCATTTACATGTCCGGTCCCCTCAGATTTCTGATTGTTTAAATAAAAAAAGTTGTTTTATTAGGATTGATAGATTGACCAATCAAAATGCTGCGCGGTAAAATGCAGCTTATTTTCAAACTTGATTTGTTTATATAATGTGTTGCGCGTAACGTACGCTGTCATCTTCATCTTTGCGTGAGAGTTAATATGCCGTGACAATGGCAGGCGCTCAAACTCAAAGTACAATATTACACTTTTTTAAAAAAGCACGGAAAGATCAACTTGATATACAGTATATATAAATAATGTTGCCCCCTCATTTAAAGACGGGACCCCCCAAAAATAAAATTCTGGCTACGCCCCTGCTGTAAGTGATATTTTTCAATAAATGGACAATAAACAAGAGCATCTTATCACCTTTCACTGGCTTATGGGAAAGCCATTACAGTTATCAGGTTTTTGTGAACACAATAAGTACAACACAATACATGAAACTAAATTTAAGTAAAAACCGAATTGGTTAGTTGCAAGAGAAAAAGAAAATGAGATGCATGTGTGGATTGAGAATGAATGTTTTGGTTAGTGCATAATGCATTCTTAACACCATGTTCTGAATGACGCCTGAAAGAATTCTATATATTAATAATACATGTATATTGCACAGCTGTGTTAGCGTACATGGACGGGTTGGGGAAGATGCAGCAACCTTCCCAAATAAGAGTGGCCTGTTCAGTGCCAGTGTCTGCAACTAGATTTTATTTGCAAAAAATAAAATAAAATCGTAAAAAAAAAGTATCAAATGACTGGCAGCAAAGAGGGCCAAACAAATACCGTAAAAACAAAGTAAAATATCCTAATTTAAATTAAGCGCAAAAAAACATTTTACACATTTTTCTTAAATGTTTTACAGAAAAACATTTATTATTATTATTTTACAGCTATCAACTGGATTATTACAACCAAACACTCTAAGTGTAAAAGCAATGCATTATTATGATCAAATACCTTTATTGTAAAAAAGTCATAAAAAACCATAGTAAAAAACAGTCAATGACTGTCAACAATGGCTGCCATACAAAAAACATAAAATTCATGTAAAATAGCCTATTTTAAATAAGTGCGAAAGTAGAAATCCTCATTAAGCTTTTTAACAGAAATACAATTATTTCATATATTTCCAAAATTCTTATTAAGAAAAATATAAGTGATGTATGATTTACTGTCATCACTGCATCAGCAACTACACAGTTACTGTCAAACATGCAGCATTTCATCAGTTTTACTTTGCTCATCCTGAACTGAAGCACAGGCTCTATTCTTAAACACAATGGTAACCAACAAAACACACCATATAGAAACAATTTACATCCCAACAGAATATTAAACACTAACAGATCTCTCAAGATCTCTGCATCCTCAATCATTACAATCCAGACATTATGTATTGCATACTAACATTCTTACTGAGAATTAACAGATGTTTAGAAGTTGATTTTTTATGAAAAAAATAAAGTTTGATGTCACCATGATGGAGATCAGTGTTTGCTTTAGTTGGGCTCTTGACCCTTAAATTATTAACTTCAGTTAACTTCAGTTGACTTTGTTTGGCTGTTGTATCTGAGTTATACCTGCCAGATGAACAAAGAAAAAGAAAAAATAGTTATCTAATTCTAATAGTGTTGGTTATATTATGACATTCATCATTTGAATTTAATTTTTCGTGATATATTCTGTTGGTTACAAAATAACTGTTTCTGCATAAATATCCAGAACTTTATATATTATATAATGCATTTCTTAAAAGTTTTTTTTTAAAGTCTTTCTTTTAGGCACACATAGACCTCAAGATTCACTCAATGCGTTTCAACAATGGTGACAAGCAGAATATTCAATTAGGAAAAGTAAATTACATAGACAATTCAGATCATAATTTATTCATACCACAATGGATGATGGAAGCCATTAATGAGTTGTGATTGGTGGCAACAAGGATTATTATTGTCACCATAGTTGAGATTCACGGGCTGATTATTGATGTCTGTGTTTCTAAATAAATGCATTTGAAAGTGATTTGATCAGAACAATTTTCATTAAATGTAAAGATTTACATTTACAATCGAAAAAAGATTTGTTCATTTTGATGAACGAGTTTGAACAGGAGAGTCACGAACGCTCATCACAGAACAGAGCAAGGCAAGCATTTGTGGTTATAAAACTTAAACTTTTTTATTTATTTTTGAAATGTGTGATCATTTTGCTAGATAAGACCCATTCATCATCTGGAATTATTTAAAGCCCTTTGAAGCTGCACTGAAACTCTCATTTGGACCTTGAACTGTTTGGTTCCCATTGAAGTCCATTATATGGAGAAAATCCTGGAATGTTTTCATCAAAAACCTGAATTTCTTTTCAACTGAAAAAAAGACATGAACATCTTGAGTGACATGGGGGTGAGTAAATTATCAGAAAAAGTTTTTTTTAAAAGTGAACTACTCCTTTAATTTCATAGACATCCTTCTCTGATATATCCATTCTGTTCTCTCTTTGCTCTATTGTCTGTGTTTTTTTTTTTTTTTTGTCACAAGCAAATGTTGGTATCGGAGCATTTTAATGAGTACGAGCACACGATCACAGTATCAGACCCGATACCTTATCAAAGGAAATGCATTAGCTACAGGGGAATCACATGACATAACCAGGAAACGTGTCTGGGAGAAACTACAAAATAAGACCTGAACAAAAACTAAAAACAGTCGTGACATCTGCCATATTTTTTTAGTTTAACGTGTCAGCAAAAGCCACTATGTGTCGTGGTCTACCAGGCACGGAGAGTTGGGGTCTCTGAAGTGGCTGTAGGGGTCCCTTCTGTCGAGAACTGCAAGGCAGATCCAGCAGAAATACTTTTGACAGGAAAAACAGGTCATCTTGTTACATCCCATTGTTTTCTATTAAAAAAAGTTTTTAAAAAAAGTCAGGGATGATGGTCCACAAACATGCAGTTTTTGAAAAGTGTGAGATTACAATACTTATGGATGTTTCTACATTTCAAGCAGTATTGATTACTGTATTTTTAGACTAACAAATGAATGGAATTTAGGATCAAATCTGATCATATCTGACACGTCTTATACACAAGGCCCCGAGAATTCCTTTTCTATTGTTTTTCGCAGTCAAAAAATGAAAAGAAAATATAATTATTTTTCCAAAGGATCACACCTTTAGGACCACAAAGTGAAATGTCTGTTTGCGGTCATGAGCTAGTAGTTGCTGACCTGAATGTTAACGTGACAAGAAGGGCAGAGTTTAGTGTTATCCATCACCCAGTCTTCGCTTAAAGCCTCATCCTCTGCTCTTTGAATTAGCAGTTGTTCCATCTCCTTTCCAAGTCGTTCCTTTTCCTTTTCACTGGCAGCAAGGTACTCATCCCTCAGCCTGCGAAGCTCAACTGTTGAAGAAATAGAGACCTATTATACTGAGCAAAGGAGAATATATATATATATATATATAAACATGCTGTAAAAGAACATTCAATTATTTGCCCAGTCTCTCAATATTAACGTTTTTTTAACATTTACTTTCCACTTTTTTTGGAAATAGGCTCATTTTACAACTCCACCAGAGTTAGTTGGATTTTACCGTTTTCGAATCCATTCAGCCGATTTTCTGATATTTAGAAGAATATCAGTAACCAGACAGTTTCTGGTCTCATTGACTCTCATAGTAGGAAAAAAATATACTTTAATCTATAATTATAATTATAATGTAATTATAATATATATAATCTGGCCGTAAACCTTTGCAGAGCCACTCCACAACCTTAACCGAGGCACTTATAGACAGCATTGTAAGTAACACATTAACACAACTTGCGTAATCAGATTACTTTTTTAAGTAACAAGTAAAGTAACACATTACTTTTAAAATTAAGATAAAATCGACTGAAGATAAAAAATGTTAACTCTCTGAAGATCTCAACAGAGGAGGATTAAACAACTCCACAAACATCATTAACAGCTTCACTTATTATTAACCAGTTTGGGTTTATTACTGCCATTCGTCTACTGAAGTTTCTATTAGAATAAACAGAGATTTGGAAGTTGATGATTTGAGTTTTATTTAAGGTCACCATGATGGAGATCAGCATTTGCTTCAATTGTGCTCTTATCCCTTGACTTTTGCAGACAAGTTTTTATCTGGTTGCTGCAACTGAGTGTTTATAAAAACAAATATATTATGGCACAAAAGTCAAAGAAAAGTATGAATGGGTGTTGATTGTTAAAGATTCATGATGACGATCATCATTTAGTGACTTGTTTCACTGATCTCAGAAACTAATCTCTGATTAAAAGGGCAACATCACCTGTTTTATTCTAAACTATGAGTCTAGTGTCAGCACTGTTGTGACCATCACATATTATGAGAAACTTTACAAACAGTTTGTGTAGAAAAAGTTTCAGAGAAATTGTATTGAATTACCAAGACTCACACAGATATCGAGCATCAGTGTATGAATCTCAACAATGGTGACCATTAAAAATCAACCCATGCATGCTGGGTACCAGCATTACACAAAATGTACCCATGTCACTATTGTTGAGATGCATATGATGATTATTGATGTCTGTGTAAGTCAGCAAGGTATCATAACGTTTTTTTAAATCTGCTTGTCACAACAATGGACCTTACAGTAGAATCACAGTTCTATTGTAATGTATAATACAAGCAATACATCACCTGTTTATTCAGAGATTAGGCTCTGAAAAGAACATTTTCATCATCAAAACACAACCAACAACATATGATCATATTTCCTTTTGGCTTTTGTGCTATTACAAATATGTTTTATAGAGATTAGGCTCTGAAAAGAACATCATCATCATCCCCTAAGCCTCTGTTCATTCTCAATAACAACTTCTGTAGATGTCTGACAGAAATAAATTATATAAAGTATATATAAAGTATTTAAATGCAGTGTAAAGTTTAATTGTGTATTAAGAAATATCATTGTTTTAGTGGACTCGATTAAAATAAGTTCAGAGAACTCATAACTATTGTTTTTTTATACACTTAATTGAATTGAGGCAATCGGTTTCCTCAAACTTGTTGGATTTTACAGTGATGAATATTGTTGGTTTTCTGACAAATTCCTTCATCTAGTGTTACTTTGGATAAAAGAATACTAAGTACACAAACGTGAGTTGCTATTCAAATAGAATTGATTGACCTAACTCTACTTGTGTTTATAAACATTGCCACTTCACTGTGATCGTACCTTCTTTGCAGAGAGAGAGGCCATGGTATACTCGCTTGCAGAGGGTGCAGAAGACGAATCGGCAAGAGGGACAGATGCCCATGTTGGCGTCAGGCTCGATCATCACAGCCATACAGCAACTCATGCGTGGACAATAAACAACATCTGCCATTAGGTGCAGACTCGACTGTAGAAGGAGGCGGTCATAGCGGGTAAATTCCTCTTCACCCACCAGAAGTTTCACCTACAGTATAATAGCAGTGCAGTGGCATTAGTTTCCCAGCTAAAGTGCTTAATAGTCAAAATCTATTCATAGCTCATACTCAGGCACAAACACGCAAGAAAAAGTACCTGTGCAGGAGAAGCCAAGGACATACACTCTGGCTCAGGACAGGTAAGGGACTGGACTTTGCCATCTCTAATCTGGATCTGAAAGTATTCCTTCAAACATGTCTTGCAGTACACATGCTGACACTCCTTGAAGAGCAAAGAGTTTGAACCCAGATTCTCAGAGAAGCAGATTCCACAGCGAAAAACCTTGCTATCAAACACCTTCTGTTTCTGAGCTTCATTAAAATCCAGCAGCTGGGTTAGTATATCAGTGTGAGGGTCAACTTCTTGGACTGCTCGTTGGTCCAACTCTTGCACTTTGCTGTCTGACTGGGTCTGACCAGATTCATAGTGAGGCTGCCCACCAATGGTTTGGATCTCGAGGGGAGATTGGAGGTTCAGAAATTCCAGAGTTTCTTCCTTTAGAAACTGGATCCAGGTAAAAAGAACCACAGTCCCCCTGTTCTCCTCCCAAAGTTCATCCAGTCTCTTGCAAAGTGTAGTGATCTTTCAGACATTAAATAACTTATTAATTGAGCAGAGATTATCTCAATGGTTATGCCATGATCATGCCCAATTGAAAAGACCAAATAATTCTATAAATAAAAATACAAAACTATTTAATGTTATCATATAATTGCTAAAAATACAAACCTGAACTCTTGAAAGCCATTTGGAGCTTAAAGTGAAGACTGGAGCCAATGATGAAGGGTAGTCTGTAGGAAGCTCAAAACTCAGAACCAAAGGGGGGAGAAAAGATATTCCACACTCTACGCATGCCTCCCCTATGAAAAATATGCACAAAACATCAACTTATAAAGACTTTGGGGGACACATGCAATAAAGCTCCAAAGTTATTTGATTGTGATTTATATGATCAAATAAATATACTTAATAAAAAAAAGACTTTTTATCTCACACCTTCGACTTTTTCCTTGGTATCATGTTTATTATCATGGTTTAGTAGTATATAGTAGTTCAAAATACAATATTTTTCAAAATTACTACGTTTTTACTTATTTATTTATTTGTAAGCAAATCTTGTATGAAATCTTACCCTTGACTAGCAGTCTGAAGTTAGGAGGAAGCTCAAGGCACAGATTGATCTTGCCGCTCTGTCTTGATTCTGTCCTGTGAAACTCCTCTCCATCGTATATGCTCTCTAGAGCCAGCAGTTCATCTGTTTGTGCTTCCTGGTCGGCTGACATTTGAACATTCCTGTGATAAAAACAAGTATTGTGAAACTTCTCCAATGGATTTTTAGACTGCTAACTGCCAAACTGATCCATGACAGCGTAACAATATAGGGACTGCATGTAGAAAATTAAGGAGTGAGATTTTTGAGCATTTTTGAGCATTAGTTGAACTGAAGGAACACAAGTGACCATGATCGTTATTCACGCTGTGAATCTGGCCAATCGTGGAACAGCTGTGTCATCATCAGAGCTTGTGCAGATGCTCGAGAAGCTGAATAAACCAGTCGGTCACTCTCAAATCGCTCTCGCGGTACTTAGGTGGCATTCGTCACAATCATGTGGCTTCAGCGCTGTCTCAAGTCGGACAAAACTTCCAACCGGCATTGACTGCTTCAAGTCAGCTGCCGATCGGTCCATGCAGCGCTGCATGAAGTCGAACAAGATAGCGATTCCAGAGGGAAGGGCTCTGATGATATCCTGAATGGCAAAACATGAGGTAGGGGGCAGGGTTTGTAGTTTGCAGTTGGATATACTTGGAGAAATGGTGCATTTCGGTTGCAAAGGTGGCGCTAGTGAGCACCTAAAATGGCACCCTACTGTTTTGTGGACTTGACGGACACATGCACACGGTGGACATTGCAAGACCAAAAGACCTTAAGTGCAGATGAAAGTGTGCAGGTTTATTGTTCTGAGAATCAAAGTGGCTTTGTTTCCTCTCCTAGATTTTTCCACAAGTCGTAGGAGAGCCTGCCAAACAGCATTAGTGCCAACCTCAGGCTGGATTAGGCAAGGACACTAGACCTCTGCGAAAAGGGCTCGGCATGTGTTCAGTCATTTGAATGTTAAAGTCCCCGTGAACCGGAAGTTGCAAACGATTTTTCTCCAGTGCTGTGACGTATTTCCAAGTGAAACGGAATATTGAACAGAGGGCAGGGTTTTACTCTAGCGCTCCTCCTCTCCATCTCTCGCTCATAGCAAACTAACGGTTTGAGGGGAGTGGTTAAGCGTTTCCCCACCCAAACTGTGAAACCTACGTCATCAGAAAAAGAAACCGTTCCAGACCGGAAGTAACTTTTCAGATTTTGATTAAAGATTACTTAGGTAAAACATTTTTTTAATATATATTCACTTGCACGGATTAATTGTTCACCAAGACTAGTAATATGCGCTAACAAAGTTCAATTTTGATTTCACGGGGACTTTAAATTAGATTACTAGCAGTCAATCAAAGTCATACATAGTTTACAGTACAGGACCCAGGACACAGAAGTTCCCAAAGTCTCAGGAGCCGCAGCCACTATACTGGTAAACACTTTGTATGTTAAAACATCTCCTCACACATGAAAGTTTGTACCGTGTCTACGTTTTATCGCAGTGGGTAAACTTTTCCGACGGTCCCTTATTTCATGCGCTTCCGCGTATTATTCACCCATATAATAACATTTGGCTGTTAGTAATTTGTTATGCCCGTATAAATATTGATTATCCTTTAAAACTAAATGTTGTATTTAGATGGAAATCAATGCGAGAACAGATCCTTGCAAGCTTTTCTGCATCTCATCCCTTAATGAACCATGGTTTTATTATAGTAAGTGTGCATGGTCTTTTGACAGATAGATTACTTGTACAGTTTGACTACAAATACGAATACCATGGTTAAACTAACAAAAACAAAATTGTGGTTCCCATGGTCTAAGGCTATATAGCCAAACCATATTTAAATTTTTTTTTATTGGTATTTGGCTATAGCATGGTACATTTTTGTAAGGGTTGTTTAATACAATGCATACTGGTACTTACCTATACGGTGGCACGTTGTATGGTGCAAACTCAACGAAATAAATTAAATTAAAGGGTTAAGACGTATGATAACGTCAACAACTAGGCTACTTTGACGCTGAACTGATTCACTCTTTTTTAAAATGGTCGGTCAAGAAATTTAAAATCTTCTAATGTAGTTAGTATTCTTTCTTACTTCTTCTGCTTCTTGTTCTTTAACCAGCTCTTGTTCTGCCACTACTAGGTGTGATTCCCTGTGGATGTCGATAGACCGAGTCTTTCCGCTTGGTCTTAAAGCCTTCGTTTTACGCGAACGTCTACAATTATTTATCTCTCACCGTCTGTGATTAAGCACAATAATCGTCCAAACAAATGAAGGTAAATAATCTAAAACTATGATTATCAATCATTTCTCTTCTTTTTTATTTCTCATCACACGTGTTAAAATATCTACTTTGTTTGAAATGAATGCGCATTGCTTTACTTAGGGCCTAAAAAATAGTGATTTCGTATTTCCTTTAAGCTGCATTTTAAATTTTGTGTGATTTATAGTTCTATGGCTGACATTCCATAATGCTGCTGCAAGAACTTTTTGTAAATCGATTTTTAAAGACTTTTAAAGAATTTCAATGCTGGAAGATATGGCGCTTTTCCGCTGCACGGTTCAGTGCGGCACACTAATTCTACGGTCCTTAGATGCTGTCAGTGAAAAATGCTCAAAACCTACACAATGAAATAATGACGATTCAATTTGTGTTGCTTTTCTCTCGATGCTCAGACCGACCACCACAAATTCAACAAGTTTTATTAAAACAAAGCAAACAAATGCAATAGAAAAGTACGGCTTCACAACACCTTATAGTGCAACTTTTAAAAACGTACTAAAACATTATCATAATATTAGCCAGGAAAAGGAAAATTACCTTCATTTCATTTTCACACAGAACTTTTTTTCACACAGGCAAAATTATTCTTCATCACTGATGGTTCACCAAGAGATGTAGAAATATTGTAGATATAAGCAACATGTATTTGCCTCTGATATGTCAAAAGCTGATGAATGTATACAGGGGGAAATGTGAATGTTATTATACATGAATTGACAAAGTGCAATGGATAAAGTGAATTAAAAGCAGTAAAAATCCTGCACTTTAGTGTCCATTTCCTAATTTAGAGCAAAATAATAACTTTTAAATAATATCTCAGTGAAGTACACCAGCATCTTTAGCATACAGTACATTAAACGTGAAATTTACTCTGCATTTCAGATAGATAAATATACAGTACTCCATTTAAAGCAGGAAGATCATAGTACACTGTGGAGGATTTCTTTGATAATTTTTTGCTAAAAATGTATTGTTGACCCAGTACCAAAAAAAAAAAACAGTGTTCAATACCACTTTATTCCTTTAATGGGTCAATATGATAAGCTGTAAGAGGATTAAAATGTTGATAGAGATCCCATTATTCCATTGCACCTTTATGTTTGTCGAGATATTGCACTTCTAAAGACATGATTTGGGGATAAGTGGGGATAATAAATGAATTCTAATCTACTGTTTAGGGTGAATAGTATGTGACTATATGGTGTTTTGGTGAGGTTGCATGCAAACATCAATTTCAGTTGGACTAAAGTAATAATTTATCTTTTTAAAATTTGATTAGTCCAACTGTTGGGTACCAAACTGTTCAAGGTCCAAATGAGAGTTTCAGTGCAGCTTCAAAGGGCTTTAAACGACACCAGACGACGAATAAGGGTCTTATCTAGCGAAGCAATCGGTCATTTCAAAAATAAATAAAAAAGTTTGAGGTTTATAAGCACAAATGCTCGCCTTGCTCTGTTCTGGTAGGTAGAATGACTGAACCAAATGACTCGTTGAACGAACCAAATGACTCGAAAAAAGATTCGTTAATTTTGATGAGTTTGAACAGGAGAGTCACGATCGCGCATCACAGAACGAGCATTTGTGCTTATAAAACTTTTTAAAAAATGATTTATTTTTGAAATGAGCGATCGTTTCGCTAGATAAGACCCTTATTCATCGTCTGGTGTCGTTTAAAGCCCTTTGAAGTTTTTTTTTTTTTTTTATTTCAGGCAATGGCACAAAAGTACAAGGCAGACAAAATGTTTGTTAAGTCATACAGTGCAAAAAGAAACAAGACAAACAAAAAAAACAACAACAAAAAACAAAAAAAAACAAAAAAACAACAACAAACAAAACAAATCGAATTCTACCTGAAAGGGAGTGGGAAGAAGAAAACTTATTTAATCCCACCCCAGTTCACCACTTGGTGATTAATACATTAAGCTTCATGTTTACTTTGGTCACGGATTGTTTACATAGGTTGTATCATGGTGGCGTTACCACAGTCACAATAATTTATTATAACAACAGTTTAAGAAGAATAAACAATACCAACTATGGTAATGAACAATATACCAATGATGGTAATGGACAATATACCAACGATGGTAATGGACAATATACCAACGATGGTAAGGAAACATTGAGCACATGTTAACATTATAAGACAGAGTACAACATCAATATAAATTAAAAATCCTCCTCTCTGTATTTTAACCAGACCCTATGTTTATATGACAATTTAAATTGATGGATAGTTTGACATTGCTTTTGTTGTAAGTCCAGTTTGTTCCAGAGTTTCACTCCACATACAGACACACAATAATGTTTACGAGTAGTTCGGGCTCTTGGTAACGAAAAATATCCAAAGCCTCTCAAGTTATGAGCTCGCACAGGAATTTGAAAAAAACGTTGTAAGTTAGGTGGTAATAAGTTGTTAAATGCTTTATAGAGGACTATTGTTGTATTATATTTTACAAGATCATCGAGTTTTAACAAATTTGACTGCTTAAACAGCTTATGAGTATGTTCTAAGTAACCAACCTTATGAATGACCCTCACGGCTCTTTTCTGTAATATAATCAGAGGATTTATTGTGTTCTGATAATTATTTCCCCACACTTCAACACAATACATAAGGTATGGTAGTACCAAAGTGCAGTATAGGGTACGGAGTGCATTTTTATCAAGGTATAGTTTTGCTTTGTTTATAATTGAGAGGCTTTTGGAGATTTTTCTTTTAATGTGTCTGACATGGGGCTTCCAAGACAATTTACTGTCGATTATTACCCCCAAAAATTTATACTCACTCACAATTTCAATTTGGGTATCACCAATACTTATTCTCTGTTCAATCAATTTGCTACGATTACCAAACATCATTATTTTAGTTTTGTTTATGTTCAAAGATAATTTGTTTGTATCCATCCATTTTTTTATTATATTTAATTCCCTGTTTACCACATTTACGAGCTCCTTATAATCATCACTACTATTGAATATATTCGTGTCGTCTGCAAATAGTATGAGTTTCAGTACTTTGGATATAGTAAAAATATCATTTATATACACGTTAAATAATTAATTTTGGCCCCAACACTGACCCCTGGGGGACACCACAAACTATGCCAAGAGTGTCTGATAAATACTGACCAATTTTTACAAACTGTAACCTCCCTGTTAAATAACTTTTTAACCAATCTCCAGCCAGCCCCCTAATTCCATATCTTTCCATCTTATTTAACAAGATTGTGTGATTAATAGTATCAAAGGCTTTTCTTAGATCAATAAAGATACCAACTGCATACTTTTTTTGCTCCAGTGCATTAGTAATTTCTTCAACAGCTTCAGTTATTGCCATCGAGGTAGTTCTTTTGGGCCTAAAGCCATACTGGCCATCATTAATTACATGATATTTCTCAAGAAACCTTTCAAGTCGAGAACTGAAAAGCTTCTCCAGAATTTTTGAAAACTGAGGCAAAAGAGAGATTGGTCTGTAATTAGTAAAAACGTGTTTGTTATCCTGTTTGAAAATTGGAATTACTTTAGCGATTTTCATTTTACTTGGGAAGCAGCCAGTTTGGAATGACAAATTACAAATGTACGTTAAGGGTTTTACAATATTCAATATAACTTTTTTAATCAATGTCATACTGATATCATGACAGTCGGTGGAGAACTTATTTTTACATTCACAGACAATGTTTGTTACTTCCTGCTCATTTGTAGCTGAGAGGAAGAATGAAAAGGAATTCCGTTCAATAGTTGATCTTACAGCTCCATTGTCTGGAATGTCAGTTGCAAAAAAGTTGCACTGAAACGGTCATTTGGACCTTGAACCGTTTGGTTCCCAATGAAGTCCATTATATGGAGAAAATCCTTGAATGTTTTCATCAAAAACATGAATTTATTTTCGACTGAAGAAAGAAAGACATGGACATATTGGATGACATGGGGGTGAGTAAATTAAATTTTAAATTTTTTTTTTTAAGTGAACTAATCCTTTAAGTAGCGTCTAAAATGAAATGTGGAGTATGTGTACAGTATATGAAGACATTGACCATCCATGACAAGATGATTGCACAATAGAAATACAGTAAACGGTCCATGGTTTCAAGATTCTTCTCCATTTAAAAAAGTACTTTTCTTTACAAAACGAGTGCACACTTTTATGTTATAAATAGGTGAATTTGGACGTAGCACATGCACTGCTTACATGCATTTACTTTGTGGAATTTGTGGTTATCCGTTCAAATCAATGGTGATAGTTTGCAATAGTTTTAAATTCCTCTGTGCACCGGCAAGGGTTTTACTTGTCTACAGTTTAGTCTTTGGTTCTACAGTAAAACAGCCCTCTAGAGGTGAAATAAAACCATTCATGTAATGTGATGCATGCCTTATTCTTTGTACGTGAAGAACAACCACTATACATCAGCATTGCACGGATTGGTGTTGCCTCTGAAGTGGCCGTAGGGTTCCCTTTTGTCAAGAACTGCAAGGCAGATCCAGCAGAAATACTGTTGACAGAAAATGCAGGTCATCTTGTTGCAGCCCACGTCTTTCTAAAAAAAAAGAAAGAAAAAAATCAGTAAGAAACTACAGCCCCATTTCAAGAAAAGTTGGGCCATTTCGTAAAATGCAGTAAAATTAGTAATCTGGGGTTTGTTCATTCTCCTGAAGCTTTTCTTTAACTTACAAAAGTTAATTTTTAACATTTCCAATGTTGTCACTGAACAACTTAAATGTTTGTAAATATAAACAAATTTTGATTTTGATGGCTGCAACCCATTTATAAAGTTAGGACAGAGCCAAAAAGTGAAAAGGTGTTATAGAATATCCAAGTTAAACAGTCCACAAATACCAGGGGAATTGTAATGG